GGTTTTGGCAGTGCTGAGATGCTGGGTTTTTTTTCAGAAGGAACAGCCAGGCAGAGACTACCAGATGGAGAGAACCAATTCAGATTTAATCTAATCGAATCCTGATGGGAGCAGACAGTATCCAAGAACTGCTGCTTCCAAGTTTCCTATCAAATAGTGCTCTCATTCAGACAAACAAAAAGAACCATGCAGACTGAGTTTTGAAAATGAAGGAATGAGCTAGTAAGCTTTTGAGAAAGGGAGCAAACCATGCAGACTTGCAAAAATTTCCTAATCTAAAACTTCTCTTGTGGGTGGGGCTGCAAAGGAGAAATAATATAATCGTGGCACTCTGGTTGAACTTGGGAGACCAGGGATCAATTCTCTGCTTTTCCAGGCTATATAACTTTGGACAAGTCATACGAATAATTAGTAAACATGTCGAATAACACTGGACCCAGGGCAGACCTCTGTAGAACTCCACGCAAAACCTCATGCCATTCTGATGTAGATCTGTTTATATAATTACCTTTGCTTGTGGCAATTAAATGAGTTCTCTATCTATCTAATGGTCATTTTGTCTAGGCTGCATTTCTCCAATTTGAGAAGGTCATGTGGGACCTTTTCAAAAGCCTTGTTCAATTCCAGATACACTATATCCACAGCATTCTCTTCATCCACCCATATAGTTACTTTTGTCAAAGAAAACTATAACATGCTGTCATCTAAAACTTAGAGACTGAATCACAAAAAGCAGGAAGGGTCAGGGTGTTGTAGCAGTACTGGTCCAGGAAATATACTACAAGAAAGGATTTTTACAATATGTTTTTTTATTGGGAGAGCTCTTAGACATGCTTTTGGGCATCATGCACTCTTCCTCAGGCAGACAGGTTGAGCAGAGAGAAGGCTCCATGTAAATGCCAACAGTCTGCTTGGAAGGATGGAGGAGAACTGTTAACTAGTAGAGAATAGGTGTTATCAGGAGCTGTTATAAGACAAAAGTGCATTAAAATAGACAATCTATTTAGTGGCAGAGTGAGACAATTTAAGAATTTAAGAAAACCACTGGACTAGATAACCACTGGAGGTCCCTTCCAGCCTTACTTCTCTATGCCTATCTTTTACTGTATCTATTGCACCCAGTTCCAGTATTACATGATATGCTGTGCACTAGATGTGTGGTTATATTTATTCCCAAGATCTTTGTATTACCTAGGCAGAATGGGTTGAGTTCAATCAGTCTGAATTACCTTCCCCTTCTTTCTAAATTTGCACTTTCCCTCAATAATGTTAAATATACTCATTCTGAGACAGAGATGTTGTTTGGGGACATAGTTCTACAGCTTTCCTTTTGCACAGCACACTATATTGCTGCTTCTCCTGGGAAATTAGTGAGTGCTAGCCAAAGTACTTCACTGTGCAGTGAGCAGATTGAAAAGTCCAAAATAGAAATGAATCCACCATCAATATATTTAATCAATGATTTATTTAGTTTTCAATGATAAAACTACTGGGACAATTTAGACTATAAGGGTTAGGCATGGGGTAGTAGTCTGGGCAAGGAAATGTGAAGAAGTCTTGCCCTCCTTCCCAAATGAGTTCACATATGTACAGCAGCAAATTGCAGGTGTTCTGGTGTTATAGAAATAGACCCAGGGCAACAAAATATTCTGCAACTAATTAACTTTATGTTCCAGCCAATTATACTTCATCCTTCTCAAACATCTGCTGAACAGCAAAAATGCAAACCTTTTCAATGTTTTATGCATGCTGCAACTCCCATAGCAATAAATTCAAAACTTAACACTTTATGTTGTTCATTCCTTAGTGTGTTTGTGTTTTAATGCCTTCATCTAAAATTCCTGTATCTTTGAATTTTAGACATGATAATCATATTTCATATTTCTACCAGGATTGCTTAGATAGTGTTTATGCTATAATGTCTGTCTCAGAATGAAAGCATCATTTAGATCTAATAATATATAGCAACTAGGTCTTCATTACTGACAAAACAGCACCCATTTCTTTCAAAGGACCTATATATTGCTTATTTGCCTCAAAAATAAGGGTAAAACAAAGACTGCTATTGTTAAAAAGATATTACCTTCAGAAGCTTGCTCAAACACAAGTGAAACGTCTGTTCAAACTTCCAATGAAATCAAAAGTGAGTTTTCTATGGACGTGAGCCCATTACTCCTGATTCACACACATTGCAAATTTTTATCCAAATAAGTGTTTGGAGCTACTGCTGATTCTAGAGAGAATCAGGTGATATTTTCAAGCATGCATTGCACTGCATAAATTATTCTCAAGCATATATTGAACATCTGAGAGGCTGTGATTAGAGCTGGTTAGAGATTTTGAAACAAATTGTTTTTGGGTCGGAAAACATCTGTTTGTCCAAACCAAAATCTCTGCTGGCTCATCTTTACTAGTTTCAAAGAGACGTTAATATCTGATCAAAGCTAGGCATGCTTACCCATCCCAGAATAGCCAATGATCTGTAAACCATGTGGGATCATGAAGAAGGACAGTGACTCAGTGAGATATTTTGGTGCCTGGGCCAGAGGAGGGGGAATTATGTTGACCACTGGAGAGCAGGAGGGTGCGCTGGGGGAGGGGGAGCAGAATCTTACCTGCCTCTGCTCCCTCTACTCAAGTGGCAGCTCCTACAGCTTCTGCTGTACCAGCATGAATTTAGGACTACATGATTCTGCTGTACGTGAGGGAGAAGCTCACTGCATGCCGGTGCAGCAGCCTGGCCAGTTCAGATTCCTCAGGGATGTTCCTGCTGCCCTGTTTGCTTCCTCTCTCCCACAGATATGCTTCTGCTTCAGGGCTATGTTTCTCATGGCAAAGCTGGGGAGGGGGGCACATTCCACTCACTTCACTCACCCCCCACATAAACTACCAGGCATGGGGCAGAACCTGCCCTGATCCCTATGACTGAGCTGTGCAGGGTTGCCCGTGCCATGAAAAGACTCCTTGGGGCAAATGGGACCATGCTGATGTCTCCACCAAGGCTAGGGACAGAAATTATACATAAACTGGTATAGGTGATCAGAAACTGGTTCAAATCTGTAACAACAGAAGTTCAGTGTACATAGGAGAAGTGCAGCTCCCCACTGTAACTGAGAATACTTTGCAGGAAGCATTCTGAATTACAGCAGTCTCCCAGACCAAACAGAAGTTCACTGTTGGTTCCAGCCATGGGCAACAGGTGCCTCTTGTGTCAGGGGGGGCATGTGCCCCCCAACACCAGTCAGCAACTGGTGGGGAGGTCCCCAGTGGCCGATCCCACTGACCGGGGGGGGGGTACCCCGGCAGCCAATCGCACTCACCAAA